TCTTTAAAAAAAAAAAAAAAAAAAGCTCACATTTGTGGAGGACCTAATATATGCCAGGAGCAGTTTGTGGAAATCATCTCATTTAATCCTACTAAGAACCTTATGAGGGTAGATAGATATTAATATACCAGCTGTGTGACCTTGAGCAATTTACTTAACTGCTTTGAGCTGGTTTCCTCATTTGTAAAAATGAGGATGATGATAGTGCCTATATAATAAGGCTGTTATGAGATTACATGTCAAGTACTTGTAATAGTGCCTGAAACGTAGTAAGTGACCTAATCCAGAGTCATTTATCTAACAAGTGTGGGGTCAAGATCCATGCTCAGGTCTGTCAGGTTCCACAGCGTGTAGTGTTTCCATTACGACATGGAAGAGTGAATGATAGTTGGCCATAACCTGCATGATCAGTCATAACGGTCTGTTTAAGAAATTAACATTTCTTAATCCAGATGTAATTCACACATGGAAGCTTGAATGAAGTCTTAATTCCGCCTCAAATTTAGGAGACAGGCCACAAGTTGCGAAACTGGATTGTATTTGGATTAGGAGTCATGTTTTCATTTTGAACCCAGCTTTTATTAACTAGCTCTATAAGACCTTGATCAAGATTTTTAGCCTCTTAGCCAATTTGAAAATACTCAAATGCCAGGATTCTCTATGTGAAGAGTTGCTTAGATTTATCCACAATAGGAGATTTTAGAATTATTGAACAAAACTACATATAATTTATATTTCCCAGTAAATTTACTGTATGTAATCGGGAGGTTTTTTTAATTTCACATTTATATTCATGATGGACTTTTGCTTTGTTATAGAATATATTACATGTCTTGGAATATATTAGTATGTAATTGGATGAAAATACACCCTTAACACTTATATTACTTATATTTAGCAATTTTTAAACAATATTTCAACCTCACATGTCTTAACTTTTCTTTTTTTTCAGGATATTGACAGGATTTTCAGTAACATTTCAGATATACATGAATTAACTGTGAAACTTTTAGGTTTAATTGAAGACACAGTTGAAATGACTGATGAAAGCAGTCCTCATCCGTTAGCTGGCAGCTGTTTTGAAGATTTGGCAGAAGTAAGTTTATAAAAGTACTTTATAATTCTCATTAAAGTTCTAAATAGTGTATTAAAAAATTAGTAAGATATTCTCTGAAAATTAGAGGACATTGCTGACTGCTATAAAACAATACTTAAGATTGAACCAGTAGCAAACTAAAATTACATTGTCTATATTTTTAGTGACACTTATTTTATAGTGTATTTATGATAATATTTATAGTGAAAGTTGGTTGAGTAGTAACATTTAGGATTTTTTTTAAATTTTATTATGTTATGTTAGTCACCATACAATACATCATTGGTTTTTGATGTAGTGATCCACGATCCATTGTTTTCGTATAACACCCAGTGCTCCATGCAATACGTTCCCTCCTTAATACCCATCACCAGGCTTACCCATCCCCCCACCCCCCCTCCTCTCTAAAACCCTGTTTCTCAGAGTCCATAGTCTCCCGTGGTTCATCTCTCCCTCCGATTTCCCTCCCTTCATTTTTCCCTTCCTTCTCCTAATGTCCTCCATGCTGTTCCTTATGTTCCACAAATAAGTGAAACCATATGATAATTGACTTTCTCTGCT